TCGTTTTGCCTGTTACAAACAACCGTTATGTGAACAAAGTTATAATAATACCCTCGTGCACAAGTGCGCTCGGGTATAAAAATGAAAAAAATCAAACTTTAACAGAATAAAAATTTAAAAAATAGCAGGTTCTGTGCCAAATTTTTGCATTTGTGCTAAAGCCTGTTCTTTTAGAAAAAAAACTCAAGTTATTGATGAAGAACATCGATAGATAAAAAAGAAATAATGAGTGGTCAAATGAAAATGCGCTAAATATTTTGTGTATGAAATATGACCAGAAAAGCGTGTTACTCAGGTGAACGTGGCGAATGAGTAACTTTCTTTCCTGCTCATTTTTTATACAAAAAATCTTTGCGCATTTTCATTTGACCACTCATTATATCTTATTTATCCATCAATTTTCAACACTAGTAACTTGATTTTTTTTTTGTAACAGAACAGACTTTAGCACAAATGCAAAAATTTGCGCATAACCAGTAATTTTTTTAATTTTTACTTCTGTTAAAGTTTGATTTTTTTCGTTGAAAAAAAATAAAAAAAAAATAATGGGCTGATTAATTAATTTGTCAGACACTATAAGTCCGATCGGAACACGATGTATACACGGTTTATGGAGAATTTCATTGGCTTTCATTTGCCTTATTTCATATTAAGACTGTTAAATTGGTTCGTAAGGTGTACGTGATTAAAAGGAACAAATTTTTGCTTTAAGCTGAATAACGGTAAATTGAAAATATCTCGAAAACGTATCCATAGAAAAAAAATTTGCTCGATTTTCGGAACCACCGAGCATTTCTACGTGGGAATTGGATATTGGCATCCATTGAACATTTTTCCTGTAAACCAGTGTTATTGTATAAAATAGTAGTTCGATATAATGTCTGAAAGTTGCATGCTCATTTCTGGGGTGGCATCCAATTTTGACATGAATTTGTTTTTTGTATACGTGTAAGCTAAAAACCCTGTTAATAGAGTACGTTGTGACAAAAGGAAGATGAGTTTTTTAGCGACTTCATGATATATACTCTTAAAACTAACCCAAAACTCTTTCAGAGACACAGATTCAAATTTGTGTTTCAATGTAGAAGTACTCTGGAGATCTATGAAAGCTTCGTAAATGGATTTTCTACCAAACCTGTTTATAGAACTTTCCTTTCTGTGTGCAAACCAACCGCCGTGCTTGTTCATACCAAAGTGAATTTCCCTGAACCCCGGTGACTTTTCTACGGAACCCTTGGGTTCCGCGGAACACACTTTAAGAAGCTCTGCATTAGACCGAACCACCTTACAAGCAAACAAAAAAAGTTCGCCGTACACTCCTGGGTCTAAAGATATTTTGCAAGGAAATTGTAAAAATATATATTTTTGGATGGTGACATCTATCTACATTCGGCAAAACAAAAACATTTGTTTAATAGTTCTACTGGAATAACCAAAAAATTTTCTTAGTGGTGGATAAGTATCTACTAGAACGGGCTACTTGAGGTCAATGAACTTGGGGAACAAAAAAAGCACTCTCTTCGAAATAAGAACATCGATCCGATCCGATCGATTAAGATCCGACTGAGATATAATTTAAAAAACTTACGTTCGGCAAAAAAAATATTTTTTTTTCAAATTGCCTTGCCAGGAACACTTTAGACTCATGGGTGTACAGTTAACTTTTTTTCTGGTTCGGTCTAATGCACACACTTACACATTTAAATGGTTATACTCCTTTGTGCTGTCCAATAGATGACTATTAGTGAACAAACCCTCAAACCCGCACTAGGCCTATCAAACAATAAATTTTCACTCCAAATGTGTGAGTACATATTATAATTGCACGCAACGTGCTGCTTGCTGCATACGGCGCGCAGGCGCATTGACTATGATAGCTACAGCGGCAAAATGCTATGCGTCGCTTTGTTATTTATTGTCGGTTGCAATTTATGCAAATTACACTTAGGGGATTCACAAGACGTGTTAACCGTCGTAAAATCTTAAGCTTAACACTTGTTTATGTAAAATAGCTGTTAAAATGGTTGGGGGGTTGGCTAATTATATATTCTTTATCAGTTTAAAAGAATTTCGGTTTAGTTAGAAATCCCCTAAAACCATTTTAATTAAAAAAGATGTTAACCTTAAGATTTTACGACGGTTAACACGTCTTGTGAATCCCCTAACTGTAAGTGAACTGATAATGAAACAATAATGTAAGCGGGTAACTTGGCTTTGTGGCGCATGGCAGCAGTGATGAGCATACTCAAATGTAGGATGTTTTTTTAGAAGGGTAAAATTTTAAATAAATACAATTTTCGTTAAAAATCCCTTATACCAAAACCGAAAGAAATCGTATGACTTTTAATCTTATGTTCTTACTCATAGTAACTCTTACTCTTAACTCTTACTGCATAAAAACTACTGAACGTCTGTTGAAGCTTATTGTTGTTATTATCATTTTGAAACCTGGTTATACACTGCTCCTCAACCATTCTCCATTCAACCATTTTAAATTTTGCAACCCACGACATCATTTTTTCAATACTAATCGCATACTCAAATTGCTCAACAGTATCAAATACATACTATTCGATACTCGATACTATTCACATCACTACGCGGTGTATAGCATCTGATGCCATTCTGTTTCCTTAGATAAGAGCATGATAAAAACATAGCAAGGTAGAACCGTTCTCTCAATTTGTCGGCCATGATTTTTTTTTTGAAGTTTGCCAACATTTTAAAATCATATGAAAGTGAAAATAAAAAATTGAAATTGTTCGAAATTGTTGTTGCTTGAGATTGAAAATGAAAATGTGTGTGTGAGTTTGGGAGTAAATTTAAAAATTAATTTGTTTGGAAACGTCAAGAGTGGCTCTCAGCGGTTCTACCTTACTATATTTTTATCATGGATAAGAGTCATACTCTGTCAGATTTCTATGCTGACATTGTCATCGGTCCTAATGTTATTCCAAAATAAACGAGGATGGTTGATTGTAATATGGTAGCAGGTGTTTCGTTTTATCCTCGTTCATTTCCAGACCCGCTAGGAGCCTAGCTTCTCCATCTTCCTAGACGACAATACCTTGCCTCTACCATAACCATCGCTTGCAAGAGAGTACACGCACGATTGCCTGTTCTATGGTGATGTGCAGTGGCTCGAGCGCAAGAACTATCTAGAGTTCGGTTGTCGCGCATGTGCACATTGCTCCAGTAATGCAAACACCTCCAAACGTTATAGTTTGGTGAGAAACTGTGTCACCGTGGCTAGTGCGGTTCTGGAAGCCCAAGCCACCGCCCTGTCTGTCACTATTCGTCATACTATCATAGTGTACATCCAACAAATTATATTTGGGCTGCACTCCCAAAACTTGCCTGCTAAGCGCCTGCCCATCATTGGTGCCCTCGTAGCTTTTGATGTGGACGTGTCAACGTGAGATCTCCACAAAAGCTTAGGGTCCAGTATTTGACCCAGATAATTAACCTGGGCGGAAACCTTCATTCAAAGTTATATTCCTCATACCTGAAACGGTCCTTTTCCTGGTTTATGATACGATGACCGTCTTTGAGTAATTGATATTAAATCCCACTTTAGCATACCAACTGTTCGTTAAGTATAGACTTCTTTTTATTATATTGCAGAGGGTACTGTCCACCTTTCCTCTAGTTATAATGACTATGTCATCCGCGTACCCCTCGAATCGGATGCCATTTTCCAGGAGGATTTACAACGGTTCGTCAACTACCAAGCTCCACAGGAGTAGTACCCCCTTGCGGGCACCTTTTTATACCTTTCATGAGCATGAAATGGTATTATAACTTTGGTCCG